GGCTTGGGTGATGGACGTTTTGTTATTATTATTTTTTCATGAATTTTTCTTATTGGCACTGAGTGAGTGGCGGCAATTTTTGAGCGTTTATTTTTGTTGCTTATTAATCGTTCTTGCAGAAAATCTAGTTCTGTTTGAAGTTTTTGGGCCGTAGCCCACGTGGGAGGTGGAGCATTTACGTAGAGTAGCCACTTTAGGTGTGCAACTCTTTTTTTTATTTTTTTTCGCAACTCCTCCGCGATTGCCCATTGCTTTCACTCTACTCACTTAGATTTGTTTTTCGTCGATTTATTTTGCATTTTCCAGTTTATCCAGTTTTTTTTTTTTTTTTTTATTATATATATATCCTTCTGGGTATATCTTTTTTGGTGTATCCTGTTTATCCCTCGATGTCCTTTCATCGCTGTCACGGTCGCCACGTCATAGGATAAGTCCAGGGTTTGAGTTTTGTTAGGTTTTTATTTAGAGGTGCCGCTCCAACGATCAAAATGTCTCAGTTCTTTTACAATATTTTTTAAGTCTAAGTAAGGGTAAGTCTCGTAGCTGCTCTGCTCGCAGGCGGCGGCAGAGAGACGGCTATGTACTTATGTATAAAGTAATATAATAATATACGTTGTTATGCGCTCTCAAGTGGAGCCGCGAGGGGTATGCATATGTTGACCGTTTGTTACGATTATGCAGACACTAGCACTTTCTGTGTGCGGGCTAAGCCATAAGGATCGGTTCATATTTCGGCCACTTAGGGTTTATGACCGGGACTTTGGATTATGTAAACACTGCAACAAAGTGTTACAGGCCGCACCCTTTAAGTACTCTCGGTACAGTGGGTATTAAATATATCTTCATACTACAGGAGCAAACAACACGTAAGGTGATTCAGAGCTTGGAGGAGAGGGTACGGTACAAAGAATCGACGGAAAGAATCTTTCGGCCGAACCAATTAGCAGGAGCGCTACAAAAGAAGAAAATAGTAACGACAGTTAGTAAGCAGTTCGGTGATGTCGATGATGCGGGGGTAACCAAAATAAACCCCTGACCCTACGCTATGGTCAAGGTGGCAGAAGTGGCGATGAGAGGGCTGTTGGATTCTGGAGCTAAGTGGAACACAAAAATAAGATAAGAGAAATGCTATTCTACCTATGTCCATCATTGTCCATCCCAGGAAGCAACGAGCAGTACAGCGGAGAAAATAGCCATGAGCAGCATGAATTAGGTGACGCAGAGAGAAAGCATCTGGAAGAAGTCCAAAAATCTTTCCCAAGTTTCGAGGAAAGTGGATTAGGAAGACAGCGGTAATGAAGCAGTTCAGACGCTTATATAACAGAAAATCAATAAGATGGTTGACTTGGAGTTGTAGAGGAGTATTAAAGCCCATGGAGCAACACAATCACTTTAGTCCGGAAGCCAGGAAGGAATCGCCTCTGCCTAAACGCCCTAAAGCTGAATAAAATTACAATCAAGGACGCATATTGAGGCGACCGTATTGAGACGACAAGATACATCTCAAGTATGGATCTAAAGCATTCATTCTGGTAGATAGAGTTGGACGACGCCAGCAAGAGATATACGGCTTTTACGGTACCGAGACGTCCATTGTACCATTTCGTGGTTATGCCATTCGGTTATACCATTTTATAGAAAGCGTCTTTGTGCACCTGGGCGACCTTTTTGTAGTAACCGCAAACTTTCAGGACCACATGAGGATGCTGGAAGAGGTTTTCAGAAGCCTGAAGGAAGCCGGACTGACAATACGGACTGAAGAAGTGACGAAGTGAGAAGAGAAAGGGAAGGTGATCAAAAGGGTGACGGAATGGCAGGGTGGTACCGAAGGTTCATACGGAACTTCACAGAACTGGCGGCGACGCTGACGGATACCCTAAGAAAGGTCAAATTTGTCTTAACGTAGGAGGCAAAGAGATCGGTGAAGATGCTGAAGAAGGCAATGACTACAGCGTCAGTCTAAAGACTTCCCGATCTTAAAAGAATGTTTTATTTACATTGCAATTCTTCGGATACCGGGGTAGGAGCAGTGCTTTTTCAGAAAGCGGAGGAGGAGGGCGTACGTCCCATAGTCTTCTTTTCCCAGAAGCTAAGCCCAGCGCAGCGGAACTTTAGCATAACGGAGAAGCAGCCGTGTTAGCAGTTCCACGTTTTCTGTCAAATATTTCGGCTGCACATGGATCATTCGAGTCTGCAATGGATCATATCCGTGAAGAACCTGGCCGGAATATTCGCGAGGTGGTCGTTTAAGCTGCAACCATACCAGATGGCAATCGAGCACTGCAAAGAGACCGAGAATGTGGTGACAGACAAGCTATATAGGGTGGTGGAAGGCGTCGAAGAGCCGAAAGAAGACTGGATGCTCGGATTCCAAACAAAGGATTCTAATGCACAACCTTAGAAATGAATTGAGCGAGATAGAATGGTGAGACGAAAATAATGAATGAGTAAGTGCGACTGTGTAGGTCTCACTCCCACAACATTTGGGGAATGAAACCCGAATTGAATGAGTTAGAGATACAGTTCATTCTAGAATGTTCGATACAACTATGCATATTTGCCTGTCCTTTTAGACACTGATAATAAAATAATTCAAAAGTGGAACATATTTTACTTATACTTAATATTTTCAATGTTTATTAATAACAACTTTGCCAACACAATTTTGCCGCCAACAATTGAATTGTAAAATAATTTAATTTGGAAAAACTCACAAGAAAAATAAACAAAAAGCACTTAGAAAATAGTAATAACAGTTAAAAAACCATAAGTATAAGAGAATGCCCATGAGTTAGAATGCTCTCTTACACTCTCACTCCTTCTCACTCAATTCGTTGTAACTCTTGCACTGATTCATTCTATTCCATTAGGATGTATTCTATGGCTGAGGCAATAAGAATGTATTCCTGCAGACCTCTACTGTTGGTCCGTCTGTCTGTCTGTTTCTAAGCGAACTAGGCTCTCAGTTATAAAGCTATCGACTTAAAACCGTGCACACACCCTTCTTTCTTTTGCACACAGTATATAAGTCGAAACGGCCGGATCGGCCGATTATATTCTATAGCTGCCATATAACTGAACGATCGGAAATGTTTTTTGGTAGAAAGACCAACTTTTGTGTTCTTGAAGATAGAAGCAAAGATAATAAAGCAAAAAGGTGGGACATCTCATACAAAGAAAAATATTCTATGGCGGGTTCCACAGCGCGACAAGGTAAGTTTGAGAAATTTTTCGCGCGACAACGAATGAGGGATAGCCGAGTGGTAGAGTGCTTGGCAGATGTGCGGAGGCAAACGAGTTCAAACCAGGCTCGGGACATCCATTTCTTTGCCAAATTTTAAATTAATTTATATTATATTTTGATTCTTTTAATGTGTTTTCATAAATTTATAATCCAATTAAAAAGAATACAAAATTTTTATATCACCTTAACATCGTCTCAGTTCGTAGTGGAACCCGCTGAAAAAATGTCTATAAGTGCGGGTTCTACGTCATTTTGGAAGGCCGCGGCCTTTTCAAAAATGAAAACATTTGAGAGCGGGTTCCACGACGTGGCAGATGGGACAGGGAAAGAGAGAATTCTTTTTTTAGATCGTAACATCTTTGGACGATTGGATAAACTTCGAGGGTTCGATATCATTAGGGGCGGTTGTTTCAATTTTTTAAAAAGTTTTAGTTTTTTGAATAATTTTATATTTACTTTTATTTTCTTGTTAAATTTATTTGATTTTTTATTTTTTTTTTTATTATTTTTTTACTTTTCCTATTTACTTTATTATTATTATTTTTAATTGCATTCTATTACAATTGTTGTAAAAATAAATAACGGACGTGTCGGATGACAAAATGCCGGATGGACTCCCTTGAAATTTTATTAGAAGGACATAATGAAAAATTAAACAATTTTACAATTGTAAATTTAAAGAAAAATATTACAATTTAAAAAAATTATAAAAAATAATAATAATAAAAAAAGGAAAAAGTTCAATGTCCTTACGAGGATTTGAACACAGAAAAATTATACACTACTACTATTTGTTCTACTAACTACCACATCGGCGCATTAAAAACAGAAACGAGAAATTGAATTGAATTGAATTGGGAAATAAATTGCTTATATCCGATTTCGGCGATATAACTGGAAAGGTTCTAACTAGAAGGGTTTATCAACTTTCTTGTAAGTAATAAATTTAAGTCAAATATACTATCAGAAAATAATTTAGAAAGAAAAATGTAGTAAAGAAAAAAAATTATTTTAAGTTAAAATGTTTTCAATAAAAAATTTGACTCGATTGCGTGAGAAAAAATTCCCATAATTAAAAATCTCACTATTTCATGCACATTCGACCCATCGTCAAAGGTTATTTTGGTAGTAGATCATATTACTTTTACAAAACAATACCATTAACATAATGGAAGCTTAAGAGGAAGATATACCTATTAAAATGGAAACGAAGAAATTGCCCACGATTTCACAGGCGTAAACGGAGCCCCGGAAGTCGTTCTCTTATGCAGGTGGCATTAGGAAGGGTGTGGTATCGAGGGATCATATTAACAACAGTGTTCCTTCAAAAGTACTTTCACAAAAAAATCTACTTGCCAATTCTTTTCTACTTCTAATTCTTTTCCAATTTTTATTTGTATATGTAAATTTGTTTATGTATATTTTAAAACATTATTTATAATAAAAATACCGGATTTGAATTCTAGCTAAAATATTTGTATATCATATCTGTGCAGCACAATTACTTTTCTTATTAACTTTATAAATATGTTTTATAGCGTGCCGCACGAGTGTAGATTCTTTCTGTCCCATCTTACGTATGGCACTTCACAATATATTTAAAGCATTAAAAACAGCTAGAGCATTTAACGTACTCTTTGGTAACATATTAACATACCCAATTAAAAAAAAATACGATAAGATTCGATTCTAACGGAAATTTATTAATTTAATGAATTTAGTTTAATTATCCTATTTGTTATTTTTTTACTTTTAGACACAGATGAATGTCAAACCAATAACCCATGTAGAAGTCATGAGCGTTGCATTAATACAAATGGAAATTACCGCTGCGAGATCCTTTTAAAGTGTCGAGGAGGATACAAATCTACATCAGATGGAAAATCTTGTATAGGTATGAAATGAAGATATCTTCATTGAATATATTCATATTAAGACTTTCTTAAAAAAAATAGTGAAGAATTTAAAATCGAAAAAAAAAACCTCAAAGGCCCTAATTATCCGGTTGTATCTGGCTTCTGCCAATAGACTTTTAGTTTGTCTTATAGTTCCTGTAGCTTTACAGATTAAAAAAGTTTGCAGCTTGGTAGCTTTACATTTGTGATATCGACGTAGATAGAAAAAAACCTACTCATACAAAGAATTAGCATCGGCCCGGTATTGGGCCAAGACTGGCTGCCCCGGATGTTCCGATATAGGAGCCAACCAGGCAAAAAAACAAAGGCTTTATACAAAAAATTTTACATGATATGTATATGCCATTCCCTCCCTATACCTGCTCTACACTATTCACCTTTCAGTCGACCCTTCTTATGTCAATAATTATAATATTAGAATAATGATAAACTTTTGGAATATCAATATCTAAAGCTTACGTACAGATTTTGAAAAACCTGCAAATTTGTTTTTTTATAAACCGTATCAGTTCATCCGACGTAATACACTTTATTACGATCGGCCGACTATATCCTATAGCTGCCATACAACTGATTGATCGTAAATGCTGTAACTTTTAAGTTTTTAATGTTAGAGAGTTTAGTAGATGAGATATTTTTGGCAAAATAATGCAATATGCCAAATTTCATAAGGATCGGCCGACTATGTATATCCTATAGCTGCCATATAACTCAAGGATCGAAAGTGACCCAACTTTTGTGTGTTTTGAAGATAGAAAGCTGGAACTTGGTACAGATTCTATTTTTGGTCAGTTGATCCGACCTACCAAATATCATAAGGATCGGTCGGCTATATCCTATAGCTGCCATGTAACTGAACCATCGGAAATGGTTTTCGGTATGAATACCAACTTTGGTATTTTTGAAGATAGAAGGGTGGGACCTTTTTTAGATATTTTATTGTAATTAATTGATTTTTTTTATGGTATTCTCATAAGGACCGGCCAACTATATCAGATGTTTGCGATATATATCCGGTTTTACCTGCAAGGGTATATCAACTTCGGCTCCGCCCGAAGCTAGCTTTCCTTTCTTGTTTTTTAATAACGTTGCTTTTATTTCTTCAATCTTCTTTTTGCGAGACGATCAAGAGGTGTATCAAATCTTATATTTTTAACTTAACTAACAGTCATACTGACTAAGACAGAGTTAGACGGCCCTAAAAATCGATTGCTGGGTTGGGAGGTCGTTGCGTCGCAGGCGGTATACGCTAGAAACCCGAGTCAATCCCCGAGCGAGAAAATTTGGGTGCGAAGACAGTTATTCTTTGTATGATTTTTTTTGCTTCTGGATTTCGTCTTTCACTGCGAGGATGCCCAGATCCCGGTGTATGTTTTCGTTGCGAACATACCAAGGTGCCCCTGCGATAGTTCTCAAGATTTTTGATTGTGCGCGCTGTATGATGTCTATGTTACTGCTGCTCGCGTTCCCCCTCAGCTGGGAGCCATACGTCCAGATTGGCTTTACGACTGAATTGCAGAGTAGTAACTTGTAGTCCAGGCACAGTGGCGATCGTGAGTTTATGATCCAGTGGAGGCTGCTGGCTTTCAGTTTTAGATGCATCTTTTTGCATTCGATGTGCTTACGCCAGGTAAGTCGTCTATCAAGGTGAACGCCAAGGTACGTTACGTCGTTAGCTTGAGGGATCTGCATACAGTTTAGTAAAAGCGGAGGGCATGTTTGTCTATTAAGAGTAAACGTTATATGTTTACACTTTTGTTCGTTTATTTTAATGCGCCAGTCGGACAGCCACCTTTCCACTATTGTGAGATGATTAGCCAGTTGGGTTGTTGCCTGCGTTGGGCATCTGGAGCGACTAAGGATAGCGGTATCATCGGCGAACGTTGACGTTGTTAGTTGTGCGCTCGTAGGAATATCCGAAGTATACAAAACATATAGACACGGGCCGAGTGCGCTTCCTTGTGGAACTCCAGCTTCGATGGTATAGTCGCCCGAAGTAGCTGCGTTGCATCTCACTGAGAATACCCTATTGTAGAGGTACGATTCCAGTAGCTTGTGGGTGTATGTTGGCAAACACGTTTTAATTTTGTGCATGAGTCCGATGAGCCAACCTCGGTCGAAAACTTGAGATACGTCGAGGAAAATAGCGCTGCAGTATTCTCGCTGTTCGAAGGCTGAGCTTTTTTCGGATGTTAATCTGTTCACTTGTTCGATGTTTCCATGGTTTCTTCGGAAGCCAAATTGGTGTGCCGGGATAATATTGCAAGCTTCCAGATGTGGTAGTTAACAAGCATTTTTCAAACAATTTAGATAAACAAGATAGAAGACTTATTGGTCTGTATGATGACGGAATTGTGTGGTCTTTTCCAGGCTTCGGCATTTTGGAAGTTCGATCAGCATCTTTGGGGTCAATAGGTCACCACCGGGAGCCTTTTTTGGTTTTAGCCCTCTTACGACTTTTTCGATTTCTTTCGGCCGGAATGAAGGTGGCTGGAAAACACTTTGGAGATGTGCGGCGAATGTTTCAGCTTGGTCTCCGTCGCTGCGAGCCCAGCATCCCGAGTTTCTTATTGGGGTGGTCGTTTCAATTGGGGCGCTAAGATTTGGGTGGGCCCTCCACAGGGGGAACTTTGTGCTTGTTGGCGAGAGATTCTGGATGTACCTCAGCTGTGTATTTTCTTTTTGGTGAAGAGCCTGGTCGAGTGATCGGGTTGCTTCCTTAAGGCGTTCTTTTGAAGCTGGAAATTGGATGTTTTGCCAATCTTCAATAAAGCTTGGGAGCTTGCGTGAGTGGGTTGGCCAGTATGTGGGACATAGTCTAGTTTATTTTTTACATTTATAATTGCATTGTACAATTGCCTTCTTTTGGGAGTCACTAGACGTGATCCCCAGTGCGTATGTTTGGCGCTGTAGTCTCCTGTGGCTATAAAACGATCCCCAAGTGAATTGTAGAAGTCCATAAATTGTCTTTCCAAGATTGAGAAACTAGGAGGGCAGTAAACGGCAGCGATTGAAAGGATTCTTGCTCGTTGCTTCACTGAATTTGTATCGATGTGGCCTGCAAGAAGTTTGTTGCAAACCTTTTGTGAAAATGGTGTTTAATGCGTTCTCTGATTAGAACTCCAGTTCCGCCGTGGGCTTTCCCATCTGGATGATCTGTGCGGTAGATTGTGTAGCCTCTTATATGAAAGTTGTATTTGCTTGTAAGATGCGTTTTCACTAGTGGCATAACGTCAATATGGTAATCGGTCAAGAATTGTGACCATTCTAGTTAATGGCGTGAGACACCATTGGCGTTCCACATTGATATTTGTAGCACCTGCATATCTTGTTTAGACTGTTGTGCTACGAGCAGCTGTATCACCATGTTCTGGTTTTGAACAAGCGTTTGCATGGTCGTTTTCATGAATGACATAAGCTCCATCATACTTTGATGGAGGGTAAGCGTCATAGTTTCCATTTTGCTGTGTAGCTGTTCTGGGGCCTGTTGAGCGCTTTGAGAGTTAGACTGAATTGGAACTTCCCTTCCAGATCGTAGAGCATCGGCTTAGAAGAAGCCGTTGGTGGTGTTTAGTGGACCGAATGAGGATCTCGCAGCTTTGGCGAAGAAGACGTCTGGCGTGGTTTTTGGCGCAATGTACGCATTCTGTGGATTTTGGTTGCGCGTTGCGGTCGCTTGATGCATGCGACTCTTTAACTCAGTATACACCATACATCCTCTATAGTTTGCCGTATGGCTGCCTCCGCAGTTTCCACATTTCTTCACGGTACTGTCCTTGTTTGTAGTGCAGTAAGCGGACTGTGGGCGTCCCCGCAGACTACACAGACAGCACGAAGTGTGCAGTAAGACTTTGTGTGTCCTTACTCTTGACAATTAGTGCATTGCACTGGACCGTTGCGATTATATGGCTCTTCAACAGTGATTTTCCGATGCAAAAGATATTGCAGGTTGTAGATTGGGTGGACTTCGTTCTTCTTCAGCGACCTGCTTTCTGGCTCGAGCTCGACCTTGAAGAGGGGTTGTGGCTGTTTATCTTTATTTTAATGTTAATAACATTCTAGGCGGCGAAGCCCTTTTCTTTAAGGGCGGTTTTTATTTCCTCGGCGGTAACATCAGGTTCTATTCCCTTTACTACCACTTGTAGGCCTTTACTGATTTACAGCTGGTACGTTAAATAGTTTTTCTGTTCAGTGTTCAGATATTTGGACACGATTCGGAAGTGCTCTTCAGTCTTGGTTTGCACCTTTGTTTCATGGATGTTCCCTTTGATAAGCGGAACAACATGAAAGTTGTCACCGTTCCCGATCAACGACGCAATCTTGTTGACCAGGGCACTCGAGCTTTTCTCCTTAATATAGTTTGAAGAGGGCGTGGGTTTTTTTCCGGTATCTTTGGCTGGTTGGTTTTCCTCAACCTCCGCCAGTAGGGCGATTTTGTTAGTAGTGGATCTGTCTGGTTCTTTATCGATATTCAGGACACGGTTAATTTTTTTTTTATTGTCTGCCGGATTACTCTGCGGGCTAAGCTTGCGCTTAATTTGGATGTAGCGATCCATTCCAGTCTGTGTGGCGGTGGCCGCTTTGGCACTTTCCGAAGTTGTTGTTTTTGTAGTCGCTGTAGTCGTTGAGGTCGCGGTACTTTGAGTTGCAGTGGTTGCAGAAATTGTGGTACTGCTAGTTGTTGGTGCGAAATTTGTTTCCGATATTAGAGGAGGAGCTTTACACTGCGAACTCCATGACGCGGGCGTCGGAGAGAGCCGAGCGGGTGAGCAAGACCGTGCCCTTTGGGTTTCAGCGGTCAGTAAAGCCGGGTTGCTCATAATCGCCGATTTTTCCACTTCGGTATCGGGAGCTCAAAAGTAAGAGTAGAAGCCGTTTCTTTGGTTCACTGAACTTCTACTCTCGTTCTTTTGATCTTTTGAGCTTATTGCATGGCACTTATTTTTTTTAAACAATTAACTTGTTTTGGCTTAGCACA